CAAAATAAAAAATTACCCTAATAAGCCACAAAGAAATGCTTGAAGAAGAACAGTCCAAGTCAGTTTTGGCCTCTCCCTGCGCAAGAAAAACAGCACAAGAGCAACCGTAAATGAATATATATAAAACCATCCCACTTAGTAATATGGTAAAAAGTAATATGTTCAGTGTATACGATATTGTTTTTAATTATTAATAAAGAAATAAATCCTCATTTATTTCTTTAATATTGATAAGTTCACCTTTGATACCATATATAAGCATAATTGATTTTTCTTGAAACATCCACTCTCTTTGGGAATTAAAGACTACTGTTGAACCTTCGAATTAACACAAAGAAATTAACGGGAAAAAAATTTAAATGAATGAAAAAAGAAAAAATTTTATTTTTTTGGAAGGTTTTCTTACATAAAATATGTATCTTTCCATTACTAAAAAGCTTATAAGTTATGGAATGCAAAACAGCTAGAATGCCATGTTTGTTTCAACAAAAACTTGAATGAGTTTACGAACGAAGCTAAATTAAAGCATAATAAGGTGTAAAAAAAAAAAAAAAAACACTCAAACCTCTCAACAATGAGGGCAAGAGGCACCATAAAAACCGTCGCAAATACAAAGCGATAGGCAACAATGACCCTTAAACTCATCCCGTCGTTCGCAGCCAGTTTGAACAGCACATTGGCGCTTGCGAAAACCACCTGAACCGTCACCATAAACATCAATGGCCTTAACTCATATACGCAATTCCTTATCTTCTCCATCCTTCTCGTTTTTAATTTTTAACGAGAAGAATAGAACCAGTGCTTAGATCGATATTGAAAACTGTGCGAAAACTGTGCATCTGGGCTCAACACAAAATTTGTATCTAACCTAAAACCAATTTGCAATAGGTGAAGTAGCTCTCCTTGTATTTAACCCACAAGTTTTTTATTTTTATACTCGATGTGGGATTTTCCCACTTAACACGCCCCCTCACGTGCAAACTCGTTATGAATGTCGGGTCTTGTCACGTGGGTTAATAACGCACCCTTAAATATAGGTCCGGTATCAACTTCGAGTCATGTCAGATGAGTTAATAACGGGCTTCTCATGGTAGAATCTGGGTTTTGATACCATATTGAAAACTGTGCATGTGGGTTTAACACAAAACTTGCATCAAATCTAAAACCAATTGGCAATAAGTGGAATAGCTCTCCTTGTATTTAATCCATAAGATTTTTATTTTTATACTCGATGTGGGACTTTCCCACTTAAGAATCAATGTTACAGAGAGGAAATAGCTTGGTAATGAGTTGTTGCAAAAGAAGAGCAAATGAATGGGGCATTTATAAGCTGTGAACTCACCTTTTTCCCCTGAGGAATACGTAATTAAATTATAATTTTTAGTGTAAATAAATTGACTATATGAAATATATATGGTTGAGTGTTTTTAACACATGTCATAAAAATGAAAATTAATAATATGAATTTATTTAATTTATATCCTTAAAACATATATTAAGAGTATAATTAATATATGTTTTTTTATATTAATTAGTATAAAAAATAACAAAAATTGTATTAATTTTATTATTAATATTGCATGTATTATTTTTAACTAGATGATTAATTAAATAAATGTTAAAT